AGACTATCATATTTTTATAAAATGTGTAAATAAAAAAAATGATGCAACGAGCTTAAAACAATGTAGTTAATGAAAGGTGTACATTCTTTTACAATAAATGGAAAATTTGAGAAAAATATATTTTGAGCTTATTAATTGATACAAATTTTTTATTTGATGAAATTCTTCGCTTACTGATCAAGATCATTTAAATCCCTATTGATTCTTCATGGCACATGTTTTGCGTCTATTTAATACTTTGATTTTTGTTGACCATTAGCATTGACTACAATATATTTTTTAAAACATAATGAAAATTCATTTTTATGACCCCTAAGTGTCTGATATTAAAAAATGCATATGTACCTGTTTAACGCACTTTGGGGTCGAAATTGGACCCCAAAGTGCGTAACGCACTCTGGGGTCGGACCCCAAAGTACGTAACACACTTTGGGGTCGAACCCCAAAGTGCGTTTGACCCCAAAGTGCGGTGTTACAAAGCTGGCTATTTATATGCCACAGTCCCCACACATTTTGTGGAAAGAACGCTCCACAGATATTTTTGTGGGCTCCAGTTTTTTTCTCGTGGGAAGACGTCCCACAGATTTTCTTGTGGAAGGAACGCTCCACAGCTTTTTCTGTGGGCTCCAAACAATTTTGTGGGATATCTTCTGCGCCAAAAACAGACACCCAATTAACAAAATATATACATCAAAACTTATAACAAGAACAATCACGTTAAAATATTACATTTTCTAAGTGACAACATAAGTTAACAAATTACCATCATCGGATAAAGATCTATCCCTTGCACTCACAACGTAAAAGTCCAACATGGCCGACATGGAAAAGTGCATTTCAAATTATCACAAATACACGGTGTTTACAATCAAATTCAGATGGATTTACAAGGCAGATTTACACATTAAATGAGTCCGCATCATACACAACAAAACCTTTACATTGAGTGTGAAACAAAGTAATTAACCGTTTTGACAGAAGTCACGAAAACAGATCATAAACACAGGATTCTACCATGGACAACATTTAGGGAAAACCTTCTAGAATCAAGAAGGATCAAACTGCTGGCACAATACGTAGATTCACATTGATGTCCTGTACGCTTCATTAGGGCACCACACGATCCACTGTGTTGTCGCCAGCAAAAGCCTCTAAAAATGAAAGTAAAAGCAGAAATAAACAAGACCGAAATCCAGTGAGATCATAAAAAGTCAAATTTCCAGGGCATTACAATATTAAGATTTCCATTAGGCATGTTAACACCGGATTTAGACATGATAACTTTAAGATCAGTGTTTAGACAAGTCAGCATGACGTTTTGACAAGATAACATGAATATTTGACCTTATAAGACCTCGTTAACCCTGGCAAGCCAACACTACTATTATACATAATAAGACCCTTTTAGGGAAAAATAAAACGAAACGTAAAATGAGGCAGCTATGGCGTTCCATAGCTAATATACATGTAAAGGGGGTTACATATGTCGAGTAAGTAAAGAAAATACGTACTACAAATTCATTACTGGACAAAACATTTTTACTAAAACCATTAAATTACGCGGAATTATTTTTTCCCTAAATGATCATGAAATACCTGGAAAATCATAGATAATAATTACTTTTTTGGCAATCTAATGCAAGTGTTTGCTACTACTTCACTGACACGTGAAATTTGTTTTTCGATTCCAACTCGTAAAAGACCGTTAACCAACCTTTTAAAGGTGTATATGAATTCCTTAAACATTGCAATGTTCCGTGCAAGTAAAATATTCAAAGACTAATAGATGGAAATGTGTTTATTATGCCCCCACTTCAAAGAAGAGGGGGTATATTGCCTTGCATTTGTCTGTCTGTCGGTCCGTCGGTCTGTCGGTCCGTCGGTCCGTAGACCAAATGGTTTCCGAGTGATAACTAAAGAACCCTTAGGCCTAGGAACTTCAAACTTAGTATGGTGATTGGTCATGACCCCTATTGATTTTGGGGTCAAGGGGTCAAAGTCACATTGACCTTTAAGATATAAACGGTTTCCGATCAATAAATAATGAAGTCTTAGGGCTAGGAACTTCAAACTTGGTATGATGACAAGCAGATTAATCATGACCAGCAGATGATCCCTATTGATTTTGGGGTCAAATGTCAAGGTCATATTCAGAGCTCCAGATAATTTTTTTGGCCAAGGGGTTTTTACCCCTCAAAATCTAGAGTGAGGGGTAAAATGCAATTTCTGAAAAACTTAAGGGGTAAAATCTGTCGAAAAAAGCATTTTGCATTTTTTATAAACAAATTAAACTTACAATATTGTTTTTGTTTGTTTGTTTCTTTTATTAGAAAAACTTTTACAAATAAGATACTGATTCAATGTGAAACTGTACAAAACATGCTCTGTAAAGTCAGACTTCCAGAGTATACACAACAAAATTATCAGGGCTTCCATTTTCAAAATTTGGAAGTCAGACTTCAAAATCTCTGATATTGGAAGTCACATTTTATAGGTAAAGAAGGAAAAGTATTAGATTTTGGAAGTCACAAGCCAAAATGAAGGAGTAAATGACTCCCAAACTTCCAATAGTGGAAGCCCTGAAATTATTTTATATTCTAGGAGTCAATATTTTCTTTCTTTATTTCTGTTGGCATGTACCTTATCATTTGAACAATTATAGTTTAATTAGAATTAAAGAAAAATAAACAAGATTTTTTTTTATCTTTCTTAAAAAAGCATTGGTCTGAGAGAAAATTGTCCGTAACTGTAGACTGGGTACGAAAATATTGAGTACAAAACTGCAGGTGAAAAACGTGTCTTTTTTGTTCCAACAACAAAAGTGAAAGAAATTAAAATATATTTTTGTTATAATATTGAGACATAAGCATGTCAATAGATGCCTAAACAAACAATACTATGTTAACTCCTACGATGATTAGCTGGCTAATTTCACAGGTTGATCTACGAGAGTTATCTCCCTTCTGTACTTCCTGTTACTTTCATTTTTAACATGCGTTGTTGACAACAGAATTTTTAGTTTTCAAAGCAATGAAATGGAATTATATTGATTTTTATGCTCAAAACATCCTATTTCTAAATATCAAATGTTTACACTTATATTCTTTTACGCTTAAATTTTGACATACAAGCGTATTTTCATTTTGTTGTGCGTAACTTTGACGCACGGATTTTGAAAGTGATGCGTATTTTGGATTTTCTATGCGTATTTTACGCTGATACGCACGCTATCTGGAGCTCTGCATATTGACATTGTAAGTTAAAACGGTTTCTGATCAATAACTAAAGAATGCTTAAGCCTAGGAACTTCAAATTTGGTATGATGATTGGTCATGATCAGCAGATGACCCTTATTGATTTTGGGGTCAAGGGGTCAAAGGTCAAGGTCACATTGACCTTGTAAGTAAAAACAGTTTCCGATCAATAACTAAAGAACGCTTAGGCCTAGGAACTTCAAACTTGGTATGATGATTGGTCATGGCCAGCAGATAACCCCTTTTGATTTTGAGGTCAAGGGGTCAAAGGTCAAGGTCACATTTACCTTGTAGGTAAAAACGGTTTCCGATCAATAACTAAAGAAAGCTTAGGCCTAGGAACTTTAAACTTAGTGTGATGATTGGTCATGACCAGCAGATGACCCTTATTGATTTTGGCGTCAAGGGGTCAAAGGTCAAGGTCACATTGACCTTGTAAGTAAAAACGGTTTCCGATCAATAACTAAAGAACGCTTAGGCCTAGGAACTTTAAACTTGGTATGATGATTGGTCATGACCAGTAGATGACCCCTATTGATTTTGAGGTCAACGGGTCAAAGGTCAAGGTCACATTGACCTTGTAGGTAAAAACGGTTTCCGATCAATAACTTTAACTTAGGCCAAGGAACTTCAAACTTAGTGTGATGATTGGTCATGACTAGCAAATGACCCCTATTGATTTTTGGGTCAAGGGTTCAAAGGTCAAGGTCACATTGACCTTGTAGGTAAAAATGGTTTCCGATCAATAACTAAAGAAGGCTTAGGCATAGGAACTTCGAACTTGGTGTGATGATTGGTCATGACCAGCAGATGACCCCTATTGATTTTTGGGGTCAAGAGGTCAAAGGTCAAGGTCATATTGACCTTGTAAGTAAAAACGGTTTCCGACCAATAACTAAAGAATGCTTAGGCCTAGGAACTTCAAACTTGGTATGATGACCAGCAGATGAACCCTATTGATTTTGGGGTCAAGGGGTCAGTGTCATATTGACCTTGTAAGTAAAAACGGTTTCCGACCAATAACTAAAGAATGCTTAGGCCTAGGAACTTCAAACTTGGTATGATGACCAGCAGATGAACCCTATTGATTTTGGGGTCAAGGGGTCAGTGTCATATTGACCTTGTACTTAAAGATGGTTTCTGACCAATAACTCAACAACTCAAGTTGCCATGGTTGATATTTTTATATTAAACTAAAAATGCTTTTGGTATACACATTTGAAGGTCTCATGTAATATAACAACTTGGCTGTCATTAATGAGGCCTACATGATTCATAAAATTTATGCATATATTATTTGGTAAGATTTGTAATAACTTAAATTGCTGCACACAACTTATGGGGTCACAGTAATTATTACTTTGTAACTAGTCATGACCAGTAGATAACCCTTATTAATTTTTGTTCACTGGGTCAGAAGTCATGCATCATAACCTGATCACATGACTAATTGGCTGCCGATAGGGGGCATACATGTTTTACAAACATATCTTGTTTTATATATTTTCCTACCTTGTCATGCTAAAAATCCATTTTATCTGAATCAACCGGTGCCAATAAATCCAAATCAGTTCAGGAACGGGAAAATATTCCAAATCAGTGCGAAACGATTATTCACCGTGAAGTCGGCAATTTTCAGGTAAAAATGAGAAAAACGAATCAAACCCTAAATGTCGCTAAAATGCTTGTGGTGATGTTTGGAAAGTTTCTGCTTAACTAGTGATTTTAATTACTTTTATTTCACAGATTATGGCAGTAATTGCTATTGGCCTTGGTATTTGGATGCGAGCAGACAAAACTCTACTGGTAACATCGAATACTGAATTTTACCTTGACTTGCCTTTGTTAACATGTATCGGTGGAGGTATAACGTGTATAGTGGCTTTCCTAGGATGTGTCGGTGCCCTCAGAGAAAATCTCGTTTTGCTAAGAGTTGTAAGATGTCTAGTTGTTTGATTAAAAAACAATGTTTATAAATGGTTTTGAAAAAAAAAACAATAAAAAACAACATGGAAATCTTAAATTGTCCAAAAATAAGAATTCCATTAATTCTATTGTCTGCAAACTAGATTAATTACATGTGTGTTGTAGGAACAGAAACAAAATGCGATATAAAACGATTATAACACCACTCAATACGGGACAAATTAAGTTTATTCTGTGTTTGTCGTTTTGCTTTCTTTTTGTGTGAATGTAGTACAATAACAATTTTGATTTGGTTGAAAAAAATATCATTTTTTTTTGTATCTTGAATATCCAATAAATTTTAGTTTTAAGTATCTTGCGGGTCACATTGGGCGCTTCTGTATATTGCGCAGTCCTGACTTTTAAACATTTCATTCCACGCGAGGAAAATTAAGCAGCGGATGATTATTTATTTCTGTTTTTTGTTAATGCAATTTTATGTTCATTGTTATGTTATGTATGTTTGGCATCAATTTATCTTTTTAAACTGTATAATTATAATAAATACGATGTGCTTAAACAATTTCTTTGTGAATGTGATCTATTCTGTTTTCTTTTTCAGTTTTTCTATGTATTAACATTTATTTTGATCGGCGAAATGATCTTGGCTATAGTAGTATTTGTAATTTACACCGTACCAGAAGCCAGAGATAATTTTCTGCGTTCTCAACCAGAGAAAATCTTATCCTCTGCCATAGAAAGCTATATGGACGACACTGACGTTAAAGAATGGGTAGACAGAATTCAATCCGAGGTTAGTTGTTTTAAATTCAAACCATAAAGATCATTGATTCAAAAGCAAGACACATCGACATAGGAGAATTTCAAAACATTTACTAGCATATCTTAGGTCGTTCCTTCTGTAAAAACAAACAAAGGAAAGTTAGATAAGTTTAAATCTCTATTGACTAACACTTTTGATAACGTCATTATAATAAACTGAAACTCCTATGATGATTTTGCGAATATTTCGAGATAAATTTCGTGTAGCTCATATTGAAATATTATTTATCATGTTGGCACTCATTTTACAATAAAACGACCTTTGGCTGACAAACAACAGACTGGTCATTAAAAACATTCAAAGTTTTAGATTTTTTAGACATTGCATGTAAATACGAGGGCTGCTCAAATTATAGTTATTTAGATATTCTAATGATATAATTGGTATAGATATGAAGTATTTATATGAAAAAAATTGAATCAGAAAATGAGTTTTTAACAAGAACAATTTCTAGAATATTGTGAAAAAAGGAATGAATGATCGTCAACATAGTGACCAACTGCCCAATAAAACCTGATAACACCTCTATTCCAGTGTAACGTTCTGTTTTTAAACATCTATTTGTGCAGTTCAAATGTTGTGGAATCAGCCATACAGACGAAGGGTTCCGTGACTGGCAGATAAACCCATATTTTAATTGCACGTCTATGAACAGAAGCATCTATCGCTGTGCAGTTCCAACATCTTGTTGTATATTTGAAAAGGTAATTCTACTTATGCAAGAAAGTGAATTGACGAATCAGTGTGTAAATTGGAATACAGACTTGACTTAGTACGACATTTAAAATGATACAAGGAATCAAAGCAACATTTATAACATATCTTACATAGTTCTTTCTCTTGAAACCCCAAAATACAACAAAAAATAAGAGGCGGGGCAATATACGCCCGAATGAACTTTGAGTAATCAAAATAATCGTTCAGTTAAGAAAGAGACCAATTCACGAAACTTCACCCAAAATGTTTTATCTTATATTAAATAACTCCCAGATGGGAGCATTTTTGACCCTCGGAGAATGATTCCAAAAACTTATAGATAAAGATCAGAATATTAATAAACAATGACCCAGGGACATTTCTGTAAACATGCTATAAAATTTACCTGTACCTATGGAACAGTGCATTTATTCCATCTTGCTTGAAAAAATAACTCTTACCATCTACGTAGGAGTTATATTGTCTTACGTGGGAGTTATAAACACCTACATAGGACTTAAGTAAACAGCTCCTACGTAGTATCTATTACCGTGGGAGTTATAAAGTCCTCTGTAGGATTTTTTAAGTCCTAAGTTGGAGTAATAAAGTCCTACATAGGTTTTATAAACACCTAATGAAGCTTTTTTTATGTCCACCAGGACGCTTCCTGACGTAAAGTTAAACAAACATTTTTTGTTGCTTTTTATAGAACATAAATTTGTAATTTCTGCAAAAAAAATATTTTTACCATATGAATATATACGTTTTGAATGTAAATAAAAACATAGAACATAAATATTTTTATAATGCCATTTAATCTCGTTGTGAAATTGTAAATTATATGCCTTCTGATTGCAGGGAGATAGAGTGAATATTATGTGCGGTTTTGAGATAACAGATAAACCGGTATGTAAAATAGACCAAATTCTTAAAGAAGCAGTCACTTTAAAATTAAATCTTTCCTGTAAAATATCATCCCAAAGAAATACTGATACCCGAGGCGTTAGGTATGGGTAAGAGTTTGTATTAAGACGACCGTAGGGAGTCTTATAAAACTCTTACCCATATAACTGCAAATCGGCTCTTACAACTCGATATCAGATAAAAATATATAGAAAGTATCACCTCTTTAATGAAGCATGACATTGTTTTTCCCCAGCAGTCACGTACAAACAAGGGTGGGGTCTAGTTACATAATCTGGCATGAAAAACAATGAGTGTTCAACAATACCTAGGATTGTTAATGCAATTCATTCCTGTCATATGAAACAAAATAATTTTTTGCTTACTTTTTCTAGAAAAAATAAACAGTCAGAAATTAATAATTGACATTTTTCTTAGAGTTAAAAGGATATCAAAAAGTTACTGTTACTCATTTGTCTCTGCGAGCTGAGCTCCACCTGTATTATCTATGTAATAAATTTAAATGTATCATCACATTGCTACAGTGTTATCAGCCTTTTTAGAAACACCTGACCTGGCTAATTAAATTATGCCAATCACAATTTTCACTATAAGCACTGGTTTCTTCATGAAAAAGCAGCTACACTAATTACTGCCGAGTAAGAGCCGATTTGCAGTTATTATTTTTACGAGGGTGATATTTTATGTGTTAATTATTTTATTTCCCTGAACAAATACTGTAATGATCTGAAATTTTCAACTAAATCTAACTGTAATATAATTGAACCAAGAGTAACAATAAATCAGCTATCTGTACCTTGCAAAATGTAATTTAAATTGAGAAGCTGTTTTTCTCTTGTATCAAATTATGATATCTACCAGTCATTAACATACAGTAAGCTGTTACATTTAGAAATCAAAACAAACCATTATACGGTTATGATATGATTTTTGACGTGCAATTACGATATCCTACATCTAAATAATGTTCTAGATCGGTCTACCTCACGTTTAATGTTTCACAAGTTAAATTTATTAAGTAATCTTTTCATGCTTTAATCGCCTGCTTGTCTTATTTTGATTCATGTATATCCCAATGCAATAACTTCCGATGAAAACGGATGTTTACTTTTAGATTATTCAACAAAAGATTTAAAAGGTGAACTAGAAATGTGCCCATAGGACAAGGGTGCCCCCACTCCACTGTTTTGTTAATCTTATGACAAGGTCAAATATTTTTTGGGCTACATGTGCCACAAGTTGAAAACTGAAAATCTTTTACTAAGTAAAGGTCTTTACAAATACTGAATAAATCCACAAGCAAAACCCAAGGTGCAAAAGTAAACGTGCTGACCATTCTTGTAAACCTTCAGACCTACAGGTCAAATACTTTTTGTGCTATGCATGAACAAGTTGAAAATTGCAAACTTATACTAAGTCAAGGGCAATAACTCTAACAAAGCTAAAAAAGAAATCACATGCAAAACACAAGGTTCATAGCTTCACAGTGATGTTGATCATTATTCTTGAAAAGTTGGTTGATTCAAACCCTAGCACTCAAGGAACAAATAACACAACATAATGGAACGATTTTTACTTAAGTCAAAGGCAATAAACCTAGAAATACTGGATAAATTCACACGCAACTGCCCAGGTGCACAACTACACATGCTGACCAACAGTCCTGTTAAGTTTTATGACTCTGGGTCAAATACTTTTTGAGCCAAGTGTGACACAAGTTGAAAAATGCAAATTTTTACTAAGTCAAGGGCAATAACTTTGACAAAACAAATTAAATCCACACGCAAATCCCAGGTGCACAACTTCACATGCTGAGCAACATTCCTGTAAAGTTTCATGACTCTAGGTCAAATACTTTTTGAGCTACGTGCGACACAAGCTGAAAATTGCAAATTTTTACTTAGTCAAGGGCAATTACTCTACAAATACTAAATAAATCCGAATAAAAATACCTAGGTGCACAACTAGACATGCTGGTCAACATTCCTGTAAAGTTTCATGACCCTAGGTCAAATACTTAAATACTTTTTGAGCAACGTGCGATACAAGTTGAAAATTGCAAGTCTTTACTAAGAAAAGGGCAATTACTCTACAAATACTAAATAAATCCAAATGAAAATACACAGGTGCACAACAACACCTGCTGAGCAACATTCCTGTATAGTTTCGTGACTGTAGGTCATTTTTGAGCTACGTGCGACACAAAATGAAAACGGACTGACGGTCGGACAGACAAGGGTAAATCTTAATCCCCCTCCCCCCTATAATGGGGGCACAAAAAGTTATCTGGCGGGGATCGCCCGGTCGCCGGGCGGCACATGGGTCATCGATTTTGTAGCTGCATAAAACTGTATCTTAATTCCTTTGGATTGAACATGAACTTTATGGTCGAGCAAGATTATATCCGCGGATTATTATTAAGGAAAAGGCAAACTACAATTGTTGCATTATTTGCTTGAGCCTACTTTGATCACTGACAGTTTTTTAAAAGAATATCATAAAATGCCCAGCCCTAAATCTCCGGCACCCAAGCGGCGATCGTTCGATACATTTATAAATCGCAAAGACGCCGTCCGGACATTGGGCAGAGACCGCGCTTTCTGTAACACCAATTCGGATGACGCAAGGTATCATTTTTAAATTCGCCCGGTGTTCGCGAACATGTCAAAGCCGCCGATGTTGTAGAAATCGTTAAATCGGGCGGCGGACGTTTTATTTGTGACTTGGGCATTAGTGATCTGGTGAATCGATCTTTAAAAATGGTTGGATACTACGTAAAATAGTAAAAAATGTAACACAGGTTGAATTGATCATTTCGCAGACATTAAATGAAATTGAGAGTGGTGGTTTTTAGCTCACGAAGTGGTCAAGGTGAGGTATAGTGATGGGGCTATGTCCGGCGTCCGTCGTCGTGCGTCGTTCGTCGTTAACAATTGGGTTGTTAACAGTCTAGCAGTCACAGTTTTGATTGGATCATTGTCAAACTTTGTCAGAATGTTTGTCTCAATGAAATACAGATCGAGTTCGAAGATTGGTCATCTCCGGTCAAAAACTAGGTCACAGGAGCTAAAAATAGAAAAAGCTTGTTAACACTCTAGTGGCTGCAGTTTTGATCAAAATATATTGAAAAAATTTGTCAGGAAGGTTGTTTTGATGATTTCTACGTCAAGTTCGAAGATCGGTCACTTGGGGTCAAAAACTAGGTCACAGGAGCTAAAAATAGAAAAAGCTTGTTAACACTCTAGTGGCTGCAGTTTTGATCCAAATATTCTGGAAATTTGTCAGATGATTTCTAGGTCAAGTTCGAAGATGGGTCATCTCCGGTCAAAACTAGGTCAAAGGAGCTAAAAATAGAAAAAGCTTGTTAACACTCTTGTGGCTCAGTTTTGATCCAGATATTCTGGAAATTTGTCAGGAAGGTTGTTTTGATGATTTCTAGATCAAGTTCGAAGATGGGTTATCTCCGGTCAAAAACTAGGTCACAGGAGCTAAAAATAGATAAAGCTTGTTAACACTATTGGCTGCAGTTTTGATCCAAATATTCTGGAAATTTGTCAGGAAGGTTGTTTTGATGATTTCTAGATCAAGTTCGAAGATCGGTCACCTGGGGTCAAAAACTAGGTCACAGGAGCTAAAAATAGAAAAAGCTTGTTAACACCCTATTGGCTACAGTTTTGATCCAAATATTGTGGACATTTGTCAGGAACGTTGTTTTGATGATTTCTAGGTCAAGTTCGAAGATGGATCATCTCCGGTAAAAAACTAGGTCACAGGAGCTAAAAATAGAAAAGGCTTGTTAACACTGTAGTGGCTGCAGTTTTGATCCAAATATCCTGGAAATTTGTCAGAAAGGTTGTTTTGATGATTTCTAGGTCAAGTCTGAATATGGGTCGTCTCCAGTCAAAAATTAGGTCATATTGCCCAAATATGAGACCTTTTTAACACACTAGAGGTCACATTTATGACTCAATTGTCATCAAACTTGGCCAGGATGCTTGTCTAAGACATTGCTTGGATGCGGTTGATGGGTCAGGGGAGCGATCCAGGGCCATCATGGCCCTCTTGTTTATGAAAAAGTTGTGCTAAAAAGTAGTCAAATGGATAATTTTGTAAATGATATACAATCGGACTAATTCGTCAACTTTCAATTGTCCTACTTTGACTAGATTTTAAGAAGGAAGAAAAGCCATTAATTGATAAAAAGAATGAACGTTTTGGAGAAAGCTTGTCCGACCGGCTTGGATTTTTACCGCAAGATCAAAGAACACGGACCGTAACACGAAATGGGCTTACAATATTTGAGGCGCGCCTGCCTAGAATACCAGTGTTGAAGGAACTGGACACAAAAAAAACATTTGACGAGGTAAGTTAATGCATTTTTTCTTAATGCGAAATATTATTCACCTTTCCAGCTCTTGTTTAAAACATAATCTAGGAAATATTGTACATAAATCCCGGTGTATATTTCAGAGGTATATCTTGTACGCGTATTTTTTAAAACTAACGAAAATGTAGTGATTTGTACTTAACACTACTTCCATCTATTAATAATTACGCTTGAATATTATTATGTTCATACGTGTAGTGACTTACTGAATGGCTTACTGGTCAGAATCTCCTCCAAAATGAAGGCATTGTTTAAAGTAAAAACAAAATGAATAATTTGATTATTGTTTCAGATTTGTTGTCGAGGTCAGATACAGAATGGAGAATAATACTTTCCACTGGAGTCAACATCTTTATAATAAATTCAAGTTTTGAAAAAAAAATGGGATGATATGTATTTTTTTTACCAAAAAAAAAAAAGTTCTGTCAACTGTGTAATGTTTTGTTTTGCTCTTTTTCAGGTATGCTCACTTTATTATTTAAAATAATAAACTGGGCATGCGCGAGAAAGTGGTGTACTGTTACCTCATTTAGAGCACGCCAAAGCGTACTGATACCTCATTTAGGGCACCCCAAAGCGTACTGGTACCTCATTT